GGGTAGCCTTACCTTCATACCGCTACCCACACTCGCAATTGGCTGCCTTGTTTTTAGTCAGAAGCCACCTATTCGCTTACAGCAACGGATAACTTGTACAGATGGGTCACCTATATCCCAAACTGACAATGTGGGTGAACAGATTTGCTTTGTAGAAAATTGATCCAACATCACCAACGCAGAGGCCGATAAAGCACAAGTTTCAAGGTGCACAGAAATAATTACAATAATGGTTCATTGATAGCTTTTCTTTTAGTGGAATGAACCTTCATACTTACTTCGGGGGTAGTTTCGCTGTCGGAAACTTTTTCAAATGGTATGGTGCAAACACGAGCATGCGGACGATTTCACGTTTGATAGTTGATAGCCATTTAACCCTTTGTCTGGGAAGCATTGATTTGAAAGCGTCTGGACAAATTCCAATATGACCGCCCACTGGCCTGAAATTGAATACAGGATCAACCGTCATTTTCTCCTAATATAATCGCTTTTCTTAAGAGAAGTACTTCTCTTAGAATTCGCAGCATCGTTTCCCCGCACATTGGGCTAAAACTACGAATTACTCTGGTCCTACTATCCACATCTCCATTTCCTTGATGCTATACGCTTTATACTATACCTGCAGCTCAGAAAGAGTATGAAGCGTAGTGTGTCCAGTCGAGACAGAATCCTCCCCGAGTGTGATAGCAGACTCATAGGCTCCTGCCTATCCCCTAGATTCCGTTAGAGGAACCATCTCAACCAGACGAATGAATGAAAACTATAAGGGGCGAGAACAGAGTTTTTCGACATCAGTCAATCCAAATCTTTGGATGCGCCTCATCACCGACTTTCATCCCCGATTGTAGTAGCAGTTCGAAAGCGCCTGGAGGCCTATTCGACATCCGAGGTACGAGTCAGTGCTCCTACCCTTTCAGACGACTCTAGTACCATTTAACGGACCCGAAAAGATGGAAGGCTCGGTTTGCCTTGGAGGGTATCTGGATAAGATCTTCAAAGCAGTAGGGGTTTTTTGTTGCTGGTAACTACAGCACTTCTGCCCAGGGAGAAACTCTGTTTGAGGGAATTCCACGTCAACCTATCGACTTAGCTATTGAATTAGCAAAGGTAGGTACGTTAAGGTATTGAGCTCAAACTATGTTCCCACTGAATTTGATATGCTGTTATTTGCTTTTTTCACAACTTTTCGTCCATGGCGCCGCACAGCGAAATATAATTGAGCTAAGGAGATGAATGATATTCCTGTTTAATTAAGTCTTGTGAGCAATGGACAAATCATAACAGTAGTATTACCTATTTGTTTTCAGATCCCTACCGCAGTATTCGCTGTGGGTGTAAACTTGAGGGCGACAAGATTCATCATTGCTGACGGACACAAATAAGGCGAAATCCGCATCCTCGAGAACCCCTGGAAGAAATCATCGTGGTTTCTGCTACTGGTAGTAATTGTCCAAGCCTCATACGCATCCAGTAATTCCTCTACTGTGTTCTAAGGTAAAGGAGCGTAATCCCAGAACGGGATCGATAAAAGACCCTGAGATTGTCTGAAAAGACTCGAAGCTGTCCTTGAAGTCTTAGCCGTATTCTCAGGAAATATTAAGGGTTCCCTCGTGATCCGAACACATACATACCTTCCTCACTACTGGAACCGCCCCGCCTCCCCTCCCCACCTTTTAGACGTGCAACACTACAAAATGCATGGATTTCTAAGCGATTGATACGAATGTAGGACTGCGAAAGGAAATTTTGCAGTTCCATGCAGCGGACATAGTATTGAGGTTACCTTCATATGGCTTGAAATCCGTAGGACAAGCTATACTAAGGCACGAACATGGCTGAAAGAAATCGTAAAAATAGAGGTACTGAAAAGTCGGGGCAAATAAAGGGTTATATTAGGAAATATCTATACTGATAAGTTGTTCGTACCAAAAATATGTTGTGCTCAGGGGGGATTTTCAACTTTCCACAATTCGGTACACAGTCTCGTTCGCATAACACCTTCCCAAGGTCATTTATATAGTTGCTTCCTTCACATGTTCTGCAATTAAATTCTCCAACATAACTGAAAACATCCATTAAGACAAGTATACGGTAATCTTGAAAGAAAATGAAGTCAACAGTAGGGAATCCTTCATCGAGGCGTTGATTCACTTGAAAGCCGGTAAAGACCCAATAGAGCAGAGTTGGACATATTACTGAGCTCAGCTCATCAGAACATATTCACAATCTCATCGCTTTTCCATGATGAAGATTAACGATTCGAAATGTCGCTGCACTTACGCAGAAATTCGAGTCCCTTCGGATCGTTCCACTTTGAGTGCACTTTCAAAGAAACTGATAGCTTCTTTCATCAATCCATCTAACAATTCTTTCCGATCACTCGGAAGACTGAAAAAATGAAGAATGAAACGCTCAACACTGATAAATTTTGATATGCACCACACACTCGAGCAAACATTTAACAGTTTTGACAGTTGTTGTACAGCTGCCCGACTCAGAGAGAGGGAAATATTCGCTCTAGCCGGGATTGGGCAACACAAAATGCTTTCATGTCTGCAGTAATGGCATCAGGCGTAGGACGGCACCATTCCACTCCTACCACATTGAGCAAAACATTTCGATAATCAGTCGTTGTGAAACGACGGTTCGGTTAAATCATTCCCCAGCAAGTCTATGCGCATAGTTTAGTTACCCCATACAACCCCTACATGTTGAGTGGAGATGACTATGACTTTCCACGTCGGTCTTCGAATCTTCCCCTATCCAGTTACCATTGCGAACAAGAGTGCAGGGTGGAGAGCAGCATACTTCCAGTCTTGCCTCTTTGATTTTTGTGCTTGCTTGTATTCGAAATACCAGCAAGATTACCTTTTCACGCTTTCATCATCGTAGTACATCTTGATCCGTATAGAATCGAAATTTGCACTTCTAGCTTTTCTAATTCCTCTAGGGTCATTTGACGGAGAGTCCGCTGGATCATTGGCTGATTTATCCGGAGTAGAAATTCGCTGAAATGATCCCTCTTATTCTGTTTTATTAGTTCCAAGCTTTGTTTCACTTGGCCTGCCTTTATAACCCAGTTCCAACTTCTCACCCCATTACATATATTCTTTACTAAGTAAACAATTGTTCTACTGATGGAATAGAGTTGAAATCGATCGCGTGTTCAATCACGCCACGAATCCATATCGATCGCTGTTTATTGGAAGGAATTACCGGGGTGAAGCCGTATACTTTGTTATGATCCGCATAGGCCCTATCCTTGATATCCCACACACTTACATTCTGATTATGAGCTTAATCCTCATTGGTACTATCTCGGTTGCGGTAGGTTTTCCATATCACTACATTTTCCGTTGGGAGAGAGACTTTTAGGTTAGACAGAGAGACCGGCAGAGTGGCCATCAAATCAACCTATCAGGTTACTGCTATGTCTGTGAGGAGGATACCTGCCAGCGTGCTGAGATGTTACCTTCCACCATCATAGAGATAAGCTGCAGATGATAAGCTAAGGGTTACACAGTGGGGTTGCGGTGACAGTACTGGGAACCGTTGTGTGCCTGCCATTCAGTCATTGATCCAAGTTGTATCTTCGTGTTAGGAACAACAATTTTCCCTTGGCCTTGAGGTAACTGGGGTGCTTAATTGATGCCCTCCCTCCATACAAACGGGAATGGTAAATGTCATTTCATTGCTCTACCACTTTTTATGCTACTGCTTTGATAGTAGCCTTTCTGTGCCACTGCTTCACCACTGCCACCATCATCTGAGAGACAGTGGTTTCAGTGGGGCCGTCTTACAGGAGCATATGTCCCTGCGTGTATCGTGTCTTAATGTTGTTGTGCTGAATGTCTCCTTCATTTTGGTCGAA